TTATGCCTCTGGATCAACAGGCAAAGAAGGGAGTTACCATACTGACTGGTGCGATTGATCCTGATTACCAAGAGGAAATCAGATTGATATTACATAATAGAGGTAAAGAAGAGTATGTCTGGAATGCAGGAGAGTCCTTGGGGCGTCTCTTAGTACTACCACGCCCTGTGATTAAAGTCAACGGAAAACTACAGCAACCTAATTCTAACATGACTACTATTGACACAGACCCTTCAGGAATGAAGGTTTGGGTCACCCCACCAGGCAAAGAACCACGACTAGCCAAGGTACTTGCTGAGGGCAAAGGAAATACAGAATGGGTGGTGGAAGAAGGTAGTTCTAAATACCAGTTACGGCCATGTGACCAGTTGCAGAAAGGGGGACTGTAATTGTTGAGTATTTGTATGTTGTATGTGTGCCTCAAATATTTTTGTTTCCTTTACTTATAAAATATAAGCTGTAAATGGGGCTAGTGCATTTTCGATTGTACACATGTTAGTTGTATCATGTTAGGCGCAAGTATGACTTTTTCATTATCTTTATTCAGAGATTATGTATGGTTCAAGATGTGTACATGTGCCAAGTAGACAAGGAGTGGACTGTGATGGTTAAGATTGTGTGTCACCTCGGCTGGGCCATGATTCTCAGTGTTTTAATGTAATCACTCCCATGATTGAATATACTGTGAGTAGACAATCAGATGAAAGGGAGTCTCCTTGGGGGTGTGGCCCACATCTGTATATCAGCAGACATTCTGGCTTTTTGCTGTCTCTGGATCCTGCGGCTGCTTCCTGTTATCTCATCTCCCTTTCTTGGGACTTGAGCTGTCAGCTTATCTGCCTAACCTGAGATTTGTCGATCTGCACAGCCTGTGAGTGGAAGCCCTGGTCTCTGACCTGCCGATCTTGGGCTTGCCAGCTTCTGCAGCTGTGTGAGTTGGGAGAGGCCTCTACCTTCATCCACGGACCTGGGACATTCTAGCCTCTACAGTCGCGTGAGCTGTTTCCTTGATATAATCTCTCTCTCCATATATATATATTTATACACTTCATTGGTTTTGCTTCTTTAGAGAACTCAGCCTAAGACATTAGGTATAGTCAATTGGAGGTCGCTTGTGACTTTAGTGAGAACTGCCTCAACAAAGCAATGATGGAGGGAGCCAGATCAGAGTGAGCTGTGAAGTTGAAAGAGTGAGACAATGGGGACAACTCTTTTAATGAATTTGGCTGTGCTGAGTAGGGGAGAGAATCCTATTCACTTTTCCAGATTTGTCTCCCCAGTTTTCCAGGCTGTTTGCTTAAGGACCCCAAATCAACAGATACTGACAGATTAATACATAAAACATATAAGCTTAAAAGTGAAAAAGGCTACAAAGTAAGAGTTGACCTTCTAGATGTGCCACATGCTTTCAATACGTTTATCACATTCAGTCAGCAACCCCTGTGTGTATCCTTATATACAGCATCCACACTTTCAGAAACAGCTAGAAACTCATACATCAAGAGCCATAAAAATATATGCCAGCCCGTTTAATTATACAAATGTTTTTAGTTATAAACTGTTAGCTGACAATGGAAATTTCCATATCTGAGTATTTAAACTCAGTTTAAAGAAATCCTTTCTGCGTAAAAAAACAAAAACCCCATAAATCATTCATGAAACTGTCCAACATAATTTGAACTTCTTGATTTTAATGTTCAAATCCAAATCCAGACATACTTAACAATCATTTGCTTTTTGACAAAGAAAGATTTAAAGGGGAAAAAAATTTTATCTTCCCAAATATAAGTGGTATGAAACTATATTTGGTTTTCTTCAGTCAGAAGCATAACTGCCTTTAGCTAAAAGCAAATAAACAGAAACACAGGTGATACTCACTCCTTTAAATTAAAACAGTTTATAGTACATATGTATATGTATACATGCTCAAATATATAATCTGTAGAATGAAATGATATACACATACCCTATTTTTACAACAAAGGCTGAGGAACTTAAACTGCTAGATCACACAATACCTTGGGCAAAACTTTTTTTATTTATAAAGTTTTCAACAATCCCTTGAAAGCAGCTATTAGGTATAAACAACAAAAACTTCTGTTCAAAGGTTTTAGCCCTTTGTATTGACCTTTTTTCATAATTTTCAATCAAAAGATCAGCTACAGGCAGTCTCCCAGGTTACAAACTTCCGATACGGACAACTCATACTTACCCCTTAATGTCATGTAATTTGCCCTCCTCACTTTGAAACCATTGAACCAACCCCTACTCACAACAAATTCTTCATCACAATCACCTTCACTTGCTGCATGTGCAGCTTTTAAATAATTGAAAAGCCTTCGAGCCTCTTCTTGCACTAAAGTAAGGCTAAATAATAACCTGTTCCGATTTACCTACAAATTTGACTTAAAGACACAAGAACAGATCTCATTTGTAATCCAGGGATTTCCTGTATATATTTTTTTGTACTTGTAAACATCAAGTCATATTACCACAGTCCTCAGAAATGATTCATTTCTTCAGCTCTTCATGTACACCTGGGTTGGCGGAGATGTTAGCTCGGAGCTCCTCTGTCTCCTCATTTAGAACAGGCTCTGCAGGTGCTGGGGGTTCCTCTACCTTGGATTTTACAGCATGAGCTGCATAGTTAAGGCTGGTATTTTCACTCCAATGCCAGAAGCCTGAGAAGGGGTTATAGAGCATTCCTGTCACAGTTTGAACTGACAGACCATCTGGGGGAAAAAAAAATCAGAAATATTAATTTAATATTTAATAGATATTAAAGAGTTTTACACAACTCTCCTTATTAAAAAAGGATTCCTAACTTAACGGGTAAAAATACTTTGTAACCATTCATTGCACAGTAGAACACAGACTCTAAAGCAGACTGCCTGGGTTCAAATCCCAGCTCTGCCACTTACTAGATGGCGACCAAGGGCAAGTCATTTATCTTTCCTAAGTCTCAGTTTTCTCATGTGTATAGAACATATCTCATTGAGTTGCTGTTAGAATTAGAAGAGCTGATGTGTGTAAAGTACTTAGTACAGTGCTGGCATTTGGCAAATACTTAATAAACATTAGCTGTTACTAGAAAATACCTGCCAACAAGTGATTATCCCTAAAAAAATCTTTAAAATATTTTTCCTATTCTATTTCAACAAGGTTACTTGCAGAAATCTTCAGAACTTATTACATTGCTGCGGACTTGGATAATATTACAAATAAAATCAAAAGCTTATTGATACACTGTCATAGGAACAAAAAGCATGAGAAATACATGAATCTAAGTATTTGATGGGAATACCAAAAGCCAAATAAATGAATTGATAAATGTTGTTACTTAATAGGAAGTCAATACATAAATCAAGCGCTTACTATATGTAAAGCAGAGTTAGGCACTGTATGAAGTACAAAAAGGAGACAGTCTTGCCCTCAAGGCCCAAGAGGGGCTAAGAAAACATCAAAATAACCATAATATAAGCCATACTATATTGTTGTTGTTGTTAGGTGTCGTCGAGACAGTTCCAACTCACAGCAACCCTACAGGACAAAGCAGAATTGCCCTACAGGGTTTCCAAGGAGCGGTTGTGGATTCGAACTGCAGACCTTTTGGTTAGCAGCCATAGCTCTTAATTACTGTGCCACCAGGGCTCCAAGGTATACTACAGGTCACGTAAAATACATAAAAAGTGATAAGGACATATGCATACCTATGTTTACTGCAGCATTATTCACAACAGCAAAAACATGGGAACAGCCTAAGTGCCCTTCAAAAAATGAGTGGATAAGCAAAATGTGATATGTACATACAATGAAATACCACATACCCAGAAAGAACATGAAACATATAACATGAATGGATCTGGAGGACATAATGCTAAGTGAAATAAGTCAATCACGTAAGGACAAATATTTTATGATCCCACTTTTTTATAAGAAGACAAGAACAGACACATATACAGAGACCAATGTTCATTGGTAGAGGTGCACGGTGGGGAGTAATTACTTTCTAGAGCACAGATACTTGTTATTTTTGGTGATAGGAAAAGTAGCACCAAATGTGGGTGTCATGAGCGCAGCCTGACCAAAGTAAACAATGCCACAAAGAAGCGCAGAAGAGAAAATGATATTTGTGCTAAAGAATATGGCATATACAATTTGTCAACAACACCAACAATAACCCAAATATGAGTGCATGGTCACATACGTATGTGTATAGGCATATATGTGTATGGGTAGGTAGGTGTGTACATATGTGTGCACAGAGTATCTATATGTACGTGCACATACAGATATGTGTGTGCACTCATGTATATTCTTAGAGGACAGTTACAAATACTTCTCAGACATATCCAAACACCTTGCAAGATGGTTTTCTAGGTTTGAAGGCTTAGGACCTTAGTGTCATGAGACAACTCAGTCAACTGGCAGAATACAGTTCTCACAGAGTTTATATTCTGCATCCTAGTAAGGCGAGTAGTGTCTGGGGTCTTAAAAGCTTACAAGCAGCCAAGATACAACAATTGGTCTCTACTTGTCAGGAGCAAAAGAAAGAGGGAAACCAAAGTCTCAGAGAAGAAACTAGTCTACAGGGCTTATAATGGATTGAATTATGTCCCCTCAAAAATGTGTGTAGCAATTTGGCTGGGCCATGACTCCCAGTATTGTATGGTTGTCCTCCATTTTGTGATTGTAATTTTATGTTAAAGAGTATTAGGATAGGATTGTATAACACCCTTACTAAGGTCACATCCCTGATCCACTCACTGTAAAGGGAGTTTCCCTAGGGTGTGGCCTGCACCACCTTTTATCTTACAAGAGATAAAAGGAAAGGGAAGCAAGCAGAAAATTGGGGACCTCATACAACCAAGAAAGCAGTGCCAGGAGCGGAGTGCGTCCTTTGGACCCAAGGTTCCTGCGCAGAGAAGCTCCTAGTCCAGGGGAAGACTGATGATGACGAGGACCTTCCTCCAGGCATCAGAGAGAGAAAGCCTTCCCCTGGAGCTGATGCCCTGAATTTGGACTTCTAACCTACTAGACTGTGAGAAAATAAATTTCTCTTTGTTAAAGCCATTCACTTGTGGTATTTCTGTTATAGCAGCACTAGATTACTAAGACAGAATTTGGTTCCAAGAGTGGGGTGCTGCTCTAACAGATACCTTAAATGTGGAAGCAGTTCTGAAACTGTGAATGGATAGAGGAGCGGCAGTGGCAGAGGACCAGCAGCAGCAGAGAACTGGCAGCGGCAGAGAACCAGCAGCAGCAGAACCTGGAGACCAGCATGAGACGGCGCTGGAGCTGACCCAAGGAGCAAGAGAGTTGAATGCCTGTGCTCACGAGGCTTCCTGGCAGAGTGGGGTGCCTCCAGGCACTTACTGGTGGAGCTACAGAGCTTTGGAACACTTGCCCCAGCAGGCCAGATGCTGGCGTGAGGCCCAGTAGCCGAGAGGCCAATAAACCAGGAAGCAGAAGCTGAAGAGACAAGGAACACAAGAAGCTGAGCTGACTCAGTCTCAAAAAGTATGGCTATGACCTCTGAGGTTTCAGAGCGTGGAGCCATGGCCTCTAGTGTTTCTAAGGGTGGAGTCACCACTCAGATGAACTAGGAGAATGATGCACCTAAAGCCAAGAGAGCAGAGCTGCTGTCCCAGTGGGCCTAGAAGGCAGAGCTGAAGCCCAGGGCTGAGGGGCCTCCACTCAGAATTTGCAGAGTGTGGCTAATACCTAGAGTCTGGAGGGCAGGGCCATTGTGTAAATTGTCTCAGAGAACAGAGGATTATTTTCAAAGCTTTGAGGGCTAATGTAATGTGTTCTGCTGACTTACTTGGTACCTGTTATCCCTTCTTTTCCTCCAGTTTCTCCCATTTGTAATGGAAATGTCTAGTTTGTGCCTGTTCTGCCAGTGTACCTTTGGAAGCAGATAACTTGTTTTCTAAATTTCATGGATGAAGAGGAATTTTTGGATTTTGGACTTGGGAGTTAAGACTTTTGCTACGATATGATGGGATGAATACATTTTGCATGTTGCAAAGATATGATTTTTTTGGGGCCAAAGGGTGAAATGTCATGGATTGAATTATGTCCCCAAAAAATATGTGTTATAAATTTGGCTGGGCCATGATTCCCAGTATTGTGTGGCTGTCCTCCATTTTGTGATTGTAATTTTATGTTAAAGAGGATTAGGGTGGGATTGTAACACCCTTACTAAGGTCACATCCCTGATCCACTCACTGTAAAGGGAATTTCCCTAGGGTGTGGCCTGCACCACCTTTTACCTTACAAGAGATAAAAGGAAAGGGAAGCAAGCAGAGAGTTGGGGACCTCATAACACCAAGAAAGCGTGCCAGGAGCAGAGCGCTTCCTTTGGATCCGAGGTTCCTGTGCAGAGAAGCTCCTAGTACAGGAGAAGATTGATGATGATGAGGACTTTCCTCCAGAGCCGACAGAGAGAAAAAGCCTTCCCTTGGAGCTGATGCCCTGAATTTGGACTTCTAGCCTACTAGACTATGAGAAAGTAAATTTCTCTTTGTTAAAGCCATCCACCTGTGGTATTTCTGTTACAGCAGCATTAGATGACTAAGACAGGGCTAACAGCCTAAATGAGCCACAGCCTCATCCACCCTGAGACCAGAAGAACTAAACAGTGCCTAGCTACCACTACTGACCATTCTGATCATGACCACAATAAATGGATCCTGATAGAACAGGAGAAAAATGTGGAACAGAACTTAAATTCTTAAAAAGTCCAGACTTACTGGACCAGCTGGGACTAGAGGACTCCCTGAGACTACTGCCCTGAGATACTCTTTAAACTTTTGAACTAAAACTATCCTCTAAGGTCACCTTTTAGTGAAATGACAGACTGGCACAGAAAATGAAGAATACTACCCATGAGTACAGTGATCCATTACAAAACCATCTATATGAGACCAAAAGACCAACAATTACTCTAAAGCAAAGATGAGAAGGGGGCAGGGAAACTAGAGTACTGGACATGAACAACCAGAATACAATTAAAGACAATGTTTTGACACATTATGAAAAATGTAACCAATGTCACTGAACAATTTGCATAGAAATTGTCAAATGGGAACTTAATTTGCTATGTAAACTTTCACTAGGAACACAATAGAATATTATTTTTAAAAAGTGATAAATTCAAAATATATCTGTGTGGAGAAATCAGTAAAAATAATACGTAAAGATAAGCTGATACAATCAGCCTCACTATGGCAAACTGAGGACGTATAAGAAATACACATTTGTACCTTATCCTTAAAAAGTGAAGAATAAATGGCCTAAAGGTATTCACTGATCATCTATTATTTGCCTGGCCACAGGTACCACAGGTGAGAGAAAAGTGGTATCTAATATTTAATTCTCACATCAAGGAGTTTATGACCTATTTGAGGAGCTGAAACCAACATCCAAAAAATAACGATCTATTTAGTTAAATGCTAGGTTGTGTGATTAATAATTATAGATATGGTTTTAGTTTAGTGTTGCTATAACAGAAATACCACAAGTGGATGGCTTCAACAAATAGAAATTTATTCTCTCACAGTTTAGGAGCCTAGAAGTCCAAATTCAGGGCACCACCTCTAGGGGAAGGCTTTGTCTGTCGCCTCTGAGGAAAGGTCCTTGTCTCCTCTCAACATCTGTGAGCCCGACATTCCTCAGAAATCTCCATGTGTCTTGGCATCAATCTTCCCCTGGGTCTAGGAGCTTCTTAGCGCAGGGACCCTGGGTCCAAAGGACACACTCCGCTCCTGGCTCTTCTTTTTTGGCGGTAATGAGGTCCCTTTCCTCTCTGCTTGCTTCTCTCTTTTATATCTTAAAATACAACCTAATCCTGTAGATTGTGTCCTGCCTCATTAACATAACTGCCTCTAATCCTGCCTCATTTACATCATAAAGGTTAGGATTTACAACATATAGGATAATCACAGCAGATCACAAAATGGAGGACAATCACACAGTACTGGGAATCATGGCCTAGCCAAGTTGGCACACATTTTTGAGGGACACGATTCAATCAATAAAAGATGCATTAAAAGTTCAGTTAGGCCTTGTAAACTGAAAAAATTCTTTTTAATACTTACTTGATTCCAGAATGCTCTCCAGCTTTTCAGGTGAAACAAACTTCTCCCATGTATGAGTACCTTTTGGTACAAGACCTGCAATTTGCTCTGCAAAAATAATTCCCAAGGCATAGGACAGTTGTGTTTTGTTGATTGTAGTAATGAATAAAGAACCACCAGGCTAAAAAAAATATACATAGAAGTAAAATTTAAAAGGTCAGGAGTATCAGTTAGGTAAAGGCTTGGCTTCCTCTTTCCCTGCCTTCCTTCCGAATGATCTTCCTTAGTGCAGCTGAGATATATAAGTACAATCAAAGTGTAATTTAACAAAAAAGAGTATTTTTTTATCTTGGAAAATTCATTATTAAAGGTAGTCTTCTACAGATGCATTCACTGTATAACAGTTCTTCCAACTCTTAAAATCATACATTACTATGGTTTACATTTATATCACATAGTCTTTTGTCAAATCCTTTATAATAAACTCAAATACTTTATAATAAAAATAGAAATAAGGTCAGGCTGCTTTTGCTTGTTACATGTGTACATTTATGCTTTCCCATACATCAACACTGTTTTCTCTTTGAGTGCAAAGACCTCGGGGGAATGCTGGGTCTGCCTAACTTGTTTGGGATAGCACAGAGCCACACATCTTGTGCCAGGGAGCAGTTCCAATAAGTGTTCCCTAAAAAACATTAATGATTAAGCTTTATAAGTTTTGTTGTTGTTTTTTATTTCATTTGTATAAAGTATATTAAGAGATCGAGATAAGCATTTATGGGACTCTTTAGTTTGCAATTTTTAAATGACTATATTTATGGTGTTGCCTACATTTACTCCCACCAATAGCAAGGACACTAACATCTCCTTTCTCTTCTACACATTCTGTTAACCAGGTAGGGATAAAATGCCAAAGATGCCTCCAAAATATTCATATTACTATAGACATAGATATGTGTGGCATAGATACGTGGTATTAGAGAGAAAGGAAGGGAGAAGGAGATAATATATCTCAAATACCACCCTGAACCAAAAGTAAAAGACAGGAGGAAGCCTGAAATATTGGCATGTGCCCCTAAATAAAAACTGAAATATCATACATCATCACATATTGTGAATTTTCTCTCTAAAACACTAATATTCTAAAATATCTTATTAAAAATCACTTATGAATATCTAATCTGTGTTCTACACAATCTTATTCTAAGGAAATAGTGGCAAGCAATGGTCATAGTGACCCTACAGGACAGAGCAGAAATGCCCCCTAGGGACTCCAAGGAGCGGCTGGTGGATTCGAACTGCCAACATTTTGGTTAGCAGCCAAACACTTTACCACTGTGCCACGAGGGCCCCTATCTGTGTTCTACACACTCTTATTCTAAGGAAATGGTGGCAAGCAATGGTCATTTTTTAAAAATAAGCTTTACACTAAAACAAAAATTAGCTTTAAAGCCCACAATGCCAGCAATTCTCATAAGTATGAAAGAAACTGCATTCATACCTAATGACTGACACACAACACAAAAATTAATAATTAAGGAGTTGTACTTGGGAAATATGAACTAAATGGAATGAAATCCCGTTTCAGAGAAACATCAAGAAACTGTCAGAGACTAGAGGAGACACTGCAACTAAATGCAAGGTGGGATCCTGTATTGGATCCTACAAAAGACAAAGGACTTTAGTGAAAAAAAAAATAAATAAATAACGCAATTTAGCAAGGTCTGTAGTGTACGGAATAGGATCTAGCCAACATTAATTTCTTGGTTTTGAGAAATGTACTATGGTTATATACAAGTCCAGTACTAGGGTGAGGCAAGTGAGGTGCCTAAATTACAGAATTTAAGGAGGCAGTCTCTCAGGGCCATGCAAGTGCAGGGTGAGCACCCTGGGACTGCCTCCTTAAATTTTGTGCCCTAGGAACCTCGCTTGCCTCACCCTAGTCCCAACTCTGATTATGTGAGATGTTAACATAAGGAGAAACTGAGTGACGGGGATATGGGAAAACTCTGTACCATCTCTGCAACTCTTCTATATATCTAAAATTGTTTAAAAATAGAGTTAAAGAAATTTGGAACCACACTCAGAGGACTAAGTCTGCAAATTATATAAGCATAACAATGTAATGGGAAGAACTAGACTTGTAATCAAAAGATCTATCCTTAAAAGTCCCACTTACTGGCCCAGAGACCTATGATGACATCTCTCAAATCCTGAGTCCGCACTGGCAAAGGAGGTGCTAACAATGCCTGTCTTACCTTCCTTACCTTGTTGTAGGTAAAATTAAGTGAGATCATATGTATGAAGTACTCTTTTATAAGCTGAAAACTGTTGTACATGTATCACATGCAGAGTTACCTAAATGTGTTAAGTAAATTTATGGCACAGTGGTTAAAGTGCTTGGCTGCTAACCATAAGGCTCAAACAGACCACAGCTCCAAGGGAGACAGATATGGCAGTCTGCTTCCATAAAGATTTACAACCTTAGAAACATTATAGGGTTGCTATGAATCAGAATCAACTCGATGGCAGTGGGTTTTTAATCCAAATCAATTTTTTGGTAATTCTCATTCAATGTTTATTAGCTGTTTAATCCAGGCTATCCCAACAGAGAAATACTGCTACAAATGTATAGTTTTCCAATTTTTCAGCAATAAAACTTTATAATATCCCTGGCAATCAAGATACCAACAGAATACTGAAAAACCCTGGTATTGAGGGCCAAACTGAAATATGGAGCCTGGTGACAAGGACTCTGCAGCAGAGATGCTGTCTCTTAACACTGGCTTCACAGTTCCTCCTTCCCTGTATCTTGCCTGCTGGACTGCTAAGGTATCATAGGACAGTTTATTGCTATGGACATTCACACACATGCAAAAGAAAAACAAACAAACTCTGTAAGTCTTACTTTTAACACTCGACAGCAACACTGTATAAATGTTTCTAGATCAACCACGTGTTCCACAACCTCGGAAGCCACGATGGCATCAAATGTTTCTACAGTTTCTTCCACAATCTCTTCCAGAGAACATGCTCTGTACTCTATCCTCTTAGCCAGGACTGGATCAAATGATTTATGATGTTGTGCTGTTTTAATGTTCTCATCCACAGGATCGATTCCAATAACTGAAGCCCCAAGCCGCCCTAGAGGCTAATGGCATAAAAAACTGTTACCCTCAGGAAGAAAACAGAACACTTGTTAGCAATAAAAAGTTTATCAAAAATGATACAAGATTAGTCATGAGATAGTTACTGGAGATGGTTCATGGGTACATGGGAGCTCATTATACCGTTTTCTCTAGTTTTCATACACTGAGATTTTCCATCATAAAAAGTTTAAAAGTGAGAACAACAACAATTAAAATAAACTTATCAAGAGCCACTTGAGGACAATGAAAAAAAAAACTATTTTCTCTAGATACATTTACATGCACACAGTAAATTATTAACATATTTAATGTATAATAAATGCAATATGCCATTGTAAAAACAGCAAAATTTCTGAGACCTTCAAATTTTCTAAAGAAGTTTTTTTTTTTGACTGACTAGAAATGATTCTTTATAGCTAATTCTTTCAACTTTTATATTCAATCAATACCCATGACATGCCCAAGTTTTTAAACAGTCTTAATTTTGATCAAAACTTGCCTAATATTTACACTAAATAAGAAGTTAGTCAATAAGCTACATGTATAAACCATTATTTTTAATGTTAGAGCCATTAGATCTGCAATAACACACTGAGCAGACAGCAGAATATGTACAATATAATCTTGCTTATTTATAATTTGATATACCGTATATTTCTTTTTATAATCTTGTTTAAAACAATATTTCATTGTGTTTTAGGTGAAAGTTCACACAGATATTTGGTTCCCCCTTAACAATTTTTATACAAATTGTTCCCTGCCACTGGTTACAATTTTTACAATGTGTCAGCATTCTCATTATTTTCATTCTGTTTGTTCTGTTTCCATTGATCTAGCTTACCTTACCTTCCTTGCCTTCTTGTCTTTGCTTTTGGGTAAATGTTGACCCTCTGGTCTCACATAGTTAATTGTTTAAGGGAGCACATTACTTGAGGATGATACTGTTTATTTTATAAGCCAATCTATTGTTTGGCTGAAAGGTGATCTGTAGAAATAGCTTCAATTCCAAGTTCAAAGGGTATCTTAGGGCGATAGTCTCAGAGGTTCCTCTAGTCTCTATTGGTCCAGTAGGTCTGGCCATTTTTAGGAATGATACACCACATACTCTTCGTTCTAAAGGATATATTTTTCACATATTCTAACTTTCCTGAAATTTGCCATAGTCCACTGCCAGCTGAAGAACACGCTGCCTGTGTGTGTGAGAACTTAGCTTTGCGTCAAAGGCCTCTGTTAGCTTCACTGTTAACTAAGCTGAACTGTGGGCCTTGACAATACCATACTGAATTGAATCATAACCTGCATTTGCATCCTACATTGTTGCTTAAAATATCTTTCAAAGATTAGATTATGATGCAGTATTAACATGAAAGTCATTGTGCTGAAAGAAAAAAATACAAAATAGAGTTACAGGGCATAAATTTATTATACATTAAGCAAATATTCTTCACAGGAAAAATGACTACTCTTCCAAATACTCAAAAGCATCTAAGAAGGGAAAAGCTCCATAAGCAGGCAAAACTAAACTCTATTAGGTTTTGTCATTGAAACAAGTGCAAAAGGAAGATCTATCATTGCATTTAAACCATGGGAAATTGCCTAATCTCTTGGGATAGAAGAGATTACAGAATTGCCAAAATCTGTTATTTGAGCTTTGTTATTCGAATGACCTACGTCACATTTTTGTAAAAAAACAAAAAAACCATATTTTTCAGAATTTTTAGATTTAAAAATAGTAATAAAAAACATGCATTACTTTTGCAAACAAATAAAACATACACATTTCTTTGTTTTTTTAGTGAACAACACTGTTTGCTGAAAAGATAAATGAGGCATAAACCCACTCCCTGTCAATGTCTTTCCCCCAGTTAAAAATGGGAGAAAGCTGTTATCAGTTTCTTACTTCAGTTAACAATCCACCACCACAGCCAACATCGAGAATCTTCATCCCAGACAAAGGTTTTCCTGGCTGGTGATCAGCAACTGTTTTCAAAAGATTGTCTCTTTTTAAAAAATTCAAAACATATGAAGACAAAAGATTAATTTTATAAATGAAAAGTCTTAAAAGTGCATAATTTTCAAGGAAATTAAAGCCTCCATTTGAAATGGATTATTGATATTTTTGGATAAACAGATCTTTCATTTTCAGCATTAAATCACTCATTGTATTTCATTTATAAAATATTTTCAATAATCAAAAGCAAGAAGTTTAAAGTAAAACTAAATAATCTAGTAGTAACTATGATTTATTATTTTAGTAATAATATAAATTAATCTAGTTTAGATTAACCTAATTTTATTTGCATGGAGCCCTGGTGCTCAGCTGCTAACTGAAAGGTCAGTGGTTTGAACCCACCAGCAGCTCCGAGGGACAAAAGACCTGGTGATCTGATCTAGTAAAGAATACAGCCTAGGAAACTCCATGAGGCAGTTCTACTCTGTCATATAGGGTCACTATGAGTCAGAATCAACTCCATGGCACACAACAACAATTTTATTTGCTTGCGAGATCATGATACCTATTAACTATGTTGTCAGCACTTGATAGACCCATTTCATGTCAGTAGTAAATGGGTTACTTTACAGAGTTTAGAAGAAGTAGATGGGAGACCTATATTTTTCAGGATTTGTCTATATTCCGTTCTAAACTGAGTCTCTCTTAATCTTCTAAATTAGTGGTGTTTTCATATATGGTCACAAATGGGGATCCAAATCAAGTAAACTGAATTCTAAGATAATCATAGTAATACTTCACTACACACAAACACATGCACGCAAGCACACGCGCGCACACACACGTTCACATAAACCAAAATCAGTTGCCTGTCAAGTCTATTTCCACTAATGGCAACCCCAAGTGTTTCAGAACAGAACTGCACCCCACAGGGTTTTCAACGGCTGTGATCTTTTGAAGTACATCACCAGGCATCTGAGGCACCTTTGGGTAGATTCAAACCATCAACCTTTTGGTTAGTAGCCCAGCACTTAACTGTCTGTGCCGCCCCAAGAGTCCTCACACTCATATAGGTAGATAATAGACCTAACAGTATTGTAAACTAAGCTTTTAAGTTGGGACTATAAACGTACTTTAATTATATTAAAATCAGTAATATATGTAATGACGGTATCTTAGGATATCTTTTATTGCTATTAAAATTAATTGGATTCTGAGAATAACCTGGACACTGGTTAAGCAGATCACTTTGGAATGCTGTAATATACAGTAAGGACCCATTTCAACTGAAGTCTGATCCATTCTTCACACAGCAGCCAAAATGACTCTTTTATAGCATAATTTAGATCATATTGCTTCCCTTCAATGGCTTCCAACTCTGCTCAGATTAAATATCAACTTCTAACCATAGCTTGCAATGTCTGGGTGATTTGTTTTAGTGTGATGTCCAAATAAAGGTGTTACAGTAGTTAGCAGAGAGTACGTAGTTCTCAAACTTGAGGGTGCATCAGAATCATCTGGAAGGTTTGTTAAAACACAAATTGCTAAGCTCCAGACTCTGACTCAGTAGGTCTAGGGTGAGACCTGTGAATCTGCACACCTAATGAGCTCCTAGGTGATACTGATGTTGCTGGCCCAGGGCCCACACTCTGAAAACCACTGATCTGGCCTAAAAGAATAATATTTCCTGCTTTTCTCTGATTTAGTGTTTCACTGATTCACTAATTCAGTGGAAATAAAAAAGGTGCCGATTTTCTCTTTTTGATGCACTGATTCTGGATGTACTAGCAAAGACCAGTCAGGAAGCTCCTTGAGGGCAGAGTCTGAGCCTGATATTCTGAGTGTCCTCTTACAGTGGTTTGCCCATATTGGCTGCTCAAAAGTGTTTGATGAATAAATGAATGGACAAAAGAACAAATGAAGAATTTCTTAAAAATCCCAGCCCTGATGAACCCTTGTCTCTATCTCCCACAGCAAACTATAAGTTCCTGAAGTACATGGACTATGTTTCATTCATCTTAGTAGCCTTTACAGAGGCTAGCCCCCTCATCCCCAAATTCTGCACAAGGTAAGTTCTCAATACATATTTGTTGGATTGAACTGTCTCAGCAGTACTCCCTTTACCAGAACTACCAATGGTCAAAAAGGCCACCGCGGATCCTTTGCTATAAAATGACCTTGATGCCACAAGACCCTAGTTTCCTTTCATAAGGATTTAATTCTAATTACCCTGATAAAGTAAAAACTGCATCAAGTTAATCTATGAAAGCAGCCTAGAAATTGGGAGACATTTCAAAAATAAATAGTTTGAAACAATAGACATCAAAGAGAATTTCCTTAATTTTCAAAGCAAACTTAAAATGCAGCATTTTGAACCTAGGTATAACCTAAAACACAAATGCACTCAAAAGAAGATGAATTATTTTAAAAAGTTGTATTTAAGAGACATAGAGTTTCTAGAATGTTACCTAATAAATGGCACTCTTAGGTCATTCATAGAATGAAGAGGTGCATATGCTCCTTGCTCATCCCACCACTTGTGAGCCAGGGCCCGGAAGGTTTTTACTTCATTGCTGTCTACAGTGGTTTGCGAAGTACTGTACGGTCTTGTTACAGGGTACCTAAGGGGTCAAAATGAGAGCCAGGCAAATACTACTGTTCTTAAAAACGTAACATTAGATACACTATGTAGAAAGATCTTCTTATTTATAATTTATTAGATTCTAAATATATATATAGTTCAGTTTTGATGCTTTAAAATCAAGTTTTCTTGTAATCACAATGCTTGTAATTTGTAGATTCACAGATGAAACAAAATTAGTTTACTTTTCAAAGCAAGTTACAACTAGGACAGAACTTTATAAAATTTGGCCTTATGGGTCATATCTAATAATAATAATAACGGAAGTATTAGTAGGAATAATAATAATTAGAAAAAAAATGTTGCCATCGAGTCGACTGCAACTCATGGAGACCCCATGTGTGTCAGTACTGAAGTCACTCCTGAGGTTCACCCTTCAGCCAAAGATTAGACTGGCCCATAAAACAAAATGAGACTAACTGGGCACACCAGCCCAGGGACAAGACAAGACAGAAAAGCTGGTAATGGGGAACCCAAGGTCGAGACGGGGAGGGTGTTGACATGTCATGTGAGGGGTTGGCATCCAATGTCATAAAACAGTATGCGTATTAAATGTTTAATGAGAAACTAATTTGCTCTGTAAACCTTCCTGTAAAGTACAATAAAAAAAATGTTAGATATACAAATTAATAAACATTAAACTTCGGGGAAAAAAAAAAAAGAACTGTACTCCGTAGTGTTTTCAATAGCTGATTTTACAGACGTAGATCACCAGGCCTTTCTTCCGGAGCACCTCTGGGTGGCTCAAACCTCCAACTTTTCAGTTAGCAGCTGAGTGCTTTAACCATTTGTACCACCTGAGCACTCCGATAATAATAGCTACTATTTACTGAGCACTTATTAAACACTAGGTACTATTTAAAAGCTTCACATATATCATCTTATTTAATCCTCCCAACAACTCTACGGCATAGGTACTATTATCATCTCAATTTTACAGATAAGAAAATGGAGGCACAGAGAGATTCAGTAAGTGGTAAAACCAGGATTTGAACCCAGTTATCTCCATCTTCTTCTGCTATCACCGTTGTCTAAGCTCCCTTCATTTCATATGAGCTATTACGCTAGTCTTCTAATTACAAGACTGGCTGCTTCCCACCTCATTCCCTTCCAATCTACTCTCCATGATGCATCCAGAGTGATCATTCTGAAATGACAATCTGATAATGTCACTTTCCTGCTTAAAATGTTTCCATGTTTTCCCAGTGCCCTTAGGGAAAATGGAGCCCCGGCGGCAAAGTGGTTAAGAGCTACAGTGTGCTACTGTTGCTAACCAAAAGGTCGGCAATTTGAATCCACCAGCTGCTCCCTGGAAATTCTATGCAGCAGTTCTACCCTGTCCTGTAGGGTCGCTGTGAGTTGGAATCGACTTGATGACAACGGGTTTGGTTTAGGGAAAATACCAAAATCCTTGCTATGGCCTACAAAGCTCTGAATTATTTAGCCCCTTATTTCCTCCCTATCTAAACTCATCTCCCACTACTCTCCTTATCCCCTCACTCCAGCCATGCAGGCCTTCTTCAAGTTCTTTGAACTGGTCACACTGGCTTCTTCCTTGGGCACTTTGCATGTGTTGTTCCCTCTGCCTAAAACATTCTTTTCATTTTTTTCCCCCTCCCCTCTACACAAATCTAATTAATTCTTTCTCATCCTTCAGATCGTAGCTTAAATCAAATGTTATCCAAGAAGTCTTCTCTGATGCACAAAACTGGATCACAGTTTGTGTTCCCCTGTTTTAACTCGTACATCACATTGTACTTCTTCATGGGGCTGTGTGATTATTTGGGCATGTCTGCCTCCCCTCTAGACCATAAGCGCTATGACAGCAAGCAGGGATTATCTCGCTCACCATTTTATCCCTAGTGACTAGTACAGTTCCTGGAACACAGCTGGTACTCAGGAAACACTTGTCAAACGAATAATATGAAATAGAAGGTCCAGAAAAGTACATACTATGCCTAAAAAAATTTTTTTTTTAATCAAATGAGATCAAACAGGGACTAAACAGGGATCAGATAGATCCTATACAAAGTACCACTACATTGTACATTATGGAAAATTCTCCAAAGGTCTACTTGGGTAAAAGAAGAAGTTGTTAAGTTAGAAAAGGTAATGCCATTCAAATTTTTACTGTTTTTCTTAGCCACATATGGCGTGTAAATTCTATACTCATTACTTTTCATCCTTTTAAGATTGAAATGTTATTTTTTCTTTTTTTTTGTTGTGGTAAATATATATGTAACAAAACATTCACCATCACTCTTCTCTAATATTTATATTCTCTTATGAATATTACCCTTCTTTTTCATACTTAATGCAAAGCCTCAGTGATCAAGGACTAACTTACAATAGGTAACAGTAAGTGGTTGTTCAGTTGACTACAAATGATTTCACACATCTAATGTCAAAGGAGCTTGTTTAAGAGAAAAGTAGGGGCATGCACTTGGAAAACTGAGCTCAAGTCTCAACACTATGTAATATTTTTCACAAGGTTATAAATTAGTTTATAAAATACAAACACAAAAAGATATTATTTTTGTTCAATATTACTACCCAGAATGTACTCTTATCCCCCTTGCCATTATTTACGTTGCACCTAACAAGCACTGCATTATTTGTGTCCTGTCATAAGGATATTCTGAGGAAGTATAAGTACTCTTCCAAGTAATATGATCTTCTATTAAAAATAAAATCCATCTCTGAATTTATATGTACTGGATGTACACTGGAAGCCCTGGTGGTGCAGTGGTTAAGCATCTGACTGCTAACCAAAAGGTTGGCAGTTCAAATCCACCAGCCGTTCCTTGGAAACCGTACGGAGCAGTTCTACTCTGTCCTATGGGGTCACTATGAGTCAGAATCGACCTGATGGCAATGGGTTTGGTTTTTTGGGTTTTGGATGTACATTGTATTATTCTATCAACTTCTGTGGGCTTAAAATTTTTCAAATTTAGAAGTTGTTGGAAAGTAAATTAATTAAAAATATTTAAATAAGTAAAATCAACCTTAATCAAAGCATATAAGCTATTATATGCTGACAGGGTTTATTAAACACAATCATTTACTAACCTACTATTGCATACAATTCTGTAAATATTTACCACACTAATAAACATACTAACCTGTAACTTTTCATTTTATTCATAGAGGCAAAGGTCATCCTATAGGATTGCAACTTCATGGTTCTGTATTCAGTGGAAACCCATGGTTTAATTTGTAGAATCCAACTGAGATTATTCTCTGAATTAGCTGAAAAAAAAAAAATTATATGTACATGTAATAAGTATATGAATTCTTGATTCTAACGTAACTGAATAAAGTATTTTATATGGCAATCCTATATTATACTATGACTGATAAACGAATTTTCCTCTTAATTTTGGATTTTACTATAAAAAATAAAAGTCTTACATTCTACCATCTTTCTTTAACCAGACATTTTCAAAATTATAATAAGCAAAAATAAGTAATGTCTAAATAAAAAATTTTTCATGACATTAGTTTTTGCAACCACATTGTGCTGCACAAAATCATAAAAAATGATATTCAAATAAAACTATGTTACCTCTTAAACTAGGGTAATATTAATTCTGATATTATCTGTAAAAACCAGTTCAAATTCTGTCAATTCCATGTCAGCTACATGAAACTGATTTATACATATGTGTTCGATATCCTTTACAGAGCAAAACTGTATGTATTTTATATGTATATATACAAATTACATATTATATAAAACACACACACACATATCTATATACACACACACACATATCTATATACACACACATATACACATCTTGGAATTCACACTCACCCAGTCTATATGTTCAAACTAACATAGGGACTTGATTTATGAACAGGTTACTCTGCTGCAGAACATTCGTTTAATAAACATGTAGACAAAGCAGGCTCCAGAACAAAGAATATTACCAGAGACAAAGAAGGATACTGCATCATAATTAAAGGGACAATCCACCAAGAAGACAAACAACAGAATATCAAAACACATGAAGCAAAAAACTGACAAAACTGGATAGAGAAACAGACAAATCCACAACTATAGTTGGGGACTTCACCACCACTCTCTAGTGACTGTTAGAATCACTAGCTAGAAAATCAACAAAGATACAGAAGAAATGAACAACGCTATCAACCACTAAGATCTAACTGAAATTTATAAAACATTCCACTTAAACAACAACAGAATATACATTCTTTCAACAGTGCATGAAGCATTCATAAAGATAGACCATATCCTGAGATGTAAAACAAACCTTCACAACTGTAAAAGAAGTGAAACATACAAAGTATATTCTCTGACTTCAATGGAATCCAACTAGAAATAAATAACAGAAAAGATAACATGAAAAGCTTCAAACACTTGGAAATAAAACAACACACTTGTATACAATCCATGAGTCAAAGAGAAAGTCTCACATATTAAAAATATATTGGACTAAATTAAAATGAAAATACAATATATAAGAATCTGTGGGATGCAGCTAAAGCAGTACTTAGAGGAAAATTTATAGTACCAGCTATTTATATTAGAAAACAAAAAAAGTCTCAAACAATCTAAGCTTCAACCTCAAGAAACTAGAAAAGAGAGAACAAAATATGACCAAAGCAAGCAGAAGGAAGGAAATGATAAAAACAAAAATTTAAAACAGAAAAACAATAGAGAAAAATTAATCAAACCAAAAGCAGATTCTCTGAAATGGTCAAAAAAATTGATAAACCTCCATCAAGCATAACAAAGACAAAAAAGAGAAGACCTAAGTTACCAATATCATGAAAGAAAGAGAAGATATAGACCCAACAGACATTAAAAAGGGTAATAATATTTAAAAAAAACAAAAAACAAAAAACTCTATGCACAGAAATTCTACAACATAGATAAAATGGACTAATTCCTTGGAAATACAAACTATCAAGACTCATGCAAAATAAAACAACCTGAACAGTCCTATAACTATTAAAAAAAATTTAATTCATGATTAAAAACTCTTTGAAAAACAAACCTTCAGGCTCAGATGGCTTCATTCAGGAATTCTACAAAGAAAAAGTAACAACCAGTTCTACATAATCTCTTCCAGAATAGAAACGAGCAGGAATACCTCTCAATCCATTTTATGAAGCCAGCATTACTATGATATAAAAACCAGACACAATACAGCAAAAGAAAACTACAGACTAATTTCTCTCATGAACATACACAAAAATTCTCAACAAAATATTAGCTATAGAGTCCAGCAATGTATAAAAATAATAAAGCACAATGAAGTAGGATTTATTCCAGCTATGCAACAGTAGCTCAGTATTAGAAAATCAATTAATGTAATCTACCATATTAACAATCTAAAGAAAACCACACAATCATACTGATAGATGCAGACAGAGCATTTCACAAAATCTACCCTATTTATGATGAAAAACTCTCAGCAAATTAAGAATATAAGAGAACTTCAACCTGATAGAGTTTGGACTAAAAACCTATAGTTCACAGGATACTCACTGGTGAAAGACTAAGTACTTTCCCCCTAAAGTCAGGAATAAGGCAAACATGTCCACTCTCACCACTTCTAGCCAACATAGTACTAAAAGCACTATCCAGTGCAATAAGGCAAGAAAAGGAAATGAAAAGCATACAGAATGGAAAACCAAACAAAAACCAAATCCATGGCAGTCAAGTCGATTCCGACTCACAGCAACCCTATAAGACAGAGTAGAACTACCCCATAGAGTTCCCCAGCAGCTCCTGGTGGATTCGAACTGCCGAACTTTTGGTTAGCTGCGGTAGCTCTTAATCACTACGCCACCAAGGTTTCTACAGAATGGAAAGGAAGAGATAAAGTTGTCCTTATTTGTAGTTAATATGATTGCCTATATAGAAAATCCCAAGGAATTAGAAAAAAAAAAAAAGCTTCTGGAACTAATAAGTTAGCAAGGTTGCAGGGCACAAGGTCAACACACACACAAAAAAATCAATCATGTTTCTATATACTAACAATGAACAACTGCAAAGCAAAATTTAAACTGGCATATCATTTAAACTTATTCTAAAAAAATGGAATAATTTTATTGTTATACAAATCTAACAAAATATGTACAGGATTGTTTCAAATCCACCCGGGGATGCCAGAGAAGAAAGGCCTGGCAATCTACTTCCATAAGATTACAGCCATTGAAAACACTGGAAGATGGCAGAATAGTGAGACACTTCCTGTGGTCCCTCTTACAACAACGACCCGAAAACACAAGTGAGTCGATTATATATCACAATCCAGGAGCCCCGAACATTAAAGACAAAGTTGAAGAGCCAGCAGCAGCAGAGGCAGGGACAAACAGTTCAGAAAGAGTGAAAAAGTACCAGACCTGACCTAGCCGGCATCCTGCAGGCTGGATTGCTTGGCGCGCGCAGGCTGAGGCAAGCAGTAGCTAGCACTCGGGACGCGTTTCACCACATTAGGAAAAACTAAGTGACAGAGAGTCTGCACAAGCCTTCAGAGCCAGGGGGAAGTGGCGCTAGATCTGTGAAAGTTAAGTGCAAGCGTCTAATCTTGTGCAGGATCAAAATAACCCTTCCCCCTTTGGGACCTTCGTAACAGAGACGTGCCTCTCTTCCGTTTACATGCCCCCTCTCTGCTCCGCTCTGGCGCTAGTCCAGCAGTGTTCAGCGGTTGCCACACCCCCAGGCCAGAGGCCAGAAGTGACACCTGCTGTGCCTGAACCAGTCTGCCGGCTTTGGGGAGGAAACAAATAAACGAACAAACAAAAAAAAAGAAACTGTCAACTCCCCTAAGCTGGAAGCTCAGGATTAACCGTGCCCAAACCAGTCTCATGGCTTTAAAAAAAACTGCCACGCTCCCTAAGCCAGGAACTCAGCGGAGGCACAGCCCCTTCACCTAGGCACAGGCATAAGGAGTCCATGGACTTTGAATGCTTTTCACCTCTGCCTAGACCTGTGTGGGCCCCAAGCAACAGCGCAGGCTCTCGTTAGCATAGTACAACAGGGTATATACCTGAAGCCTATTCTCAACTGCAACAGCTAAGGGAGAGTGGTAGATTTGTGACATTTGACACTGCCTTGCCCATTAAGCAGGGTCCTCACCCAACCACACCAGGGGCCTGAACTGGAGGCTTCACCCATCCCACCCAGTAACCCACGACAGGGGGCTGAGGGTAAGTGGTGCCTCCCAGTCCTTACAGTCAACAGCATTAGGTGCCCAAAGTCCAGCTGCAAAACCCACCCACCTACACACTCTAGGGGACAGGGACACACCTTCCACCTACACGCTCTAGAGGACAGGGACACACCTTCCACCTACACGCTCTAGAGGACAGGGACACACCTTCCACCTACACGCTCTAGAGGACAGGGACACATCTTCCACCTACACGCTCTAGAGGACAGGGACACATCTTCCACCTAGGCACTCAGGGGCAGCCGTCAGCCCCCTTCCTTGCTCAGCACATAACCCCCTACTGCAGCCAGATACCTGTGCCTGCTCCAGTCAACCCTACGCCGCCCTGCTCATCTAGAGCTAGGTAAGAGCCTGCACAATGCACTTGGTGACTGTCTTAGTCATCTAGTGCTACTCTAACGGGAATACCACAAGTGTATGGCTTTAACAAAGAGAAGTTTTTCTCTCAGTCCAGTAGGCTACAAGTCCAAATTCAGGGCGTCGGCTCTGGGGGAAGGCTTTCTCTCTCTGATGCCTGGAGGAAGGTTCTCGTCATCATCAGTCTTCCCCTGGACTAGGAGCTTCTCTGCGCAGGAACCTCGGGTCCAAAGGATGCACTCTGCTCCTGGCACTGCTTTCTTGGTGGTATGAGGTTCCCAACTCTCTGCTTGCTTCCCTTTCCTTTTATCTCTTGTAAGATAAAAGGTGGTGCAGGCCACACCCTAGGGAAACTCCCTTTACAGTGAGTGGATCAAGGATGTGACCTTAGTAATGGTGTTATACAATCCCACCCTAATCCTCTTTAATGTAAAATTACAGTCACAAAATGGAGGACAACCACACAACACTGGGAATCATGGCCCAGCCAAACTGATACATACTTTTTTTGGGGGACACAATTCAATCCATGACAGTGACCGATGACCTGAACACCTAAGCTGAATTCACACAAGAAAAGTAAACAGACTCATGGGCTCACACACCTAGTAGCAGCTCTAACCACCTGGTGACAGGTTGTGAAAGTTTCAAAGATGACAATAATCAAAGTAGCTCACACATCCA